TTCGAGTGCTTTATTTATGTGTTAATGATTTTAATCGGCTACGTAATGAATGGTAAGGCTTGGGTTAGTTAGTGGCTAGTGGTAGCTACATCGGTGCTAACGATTGTAATCGTAGCCTCCAAGTTAAAATCATAGACTGTATATATAAAGGTTAAAACTAAATAGATAAGTGTTAAGTGGGATAATACTGTTGAACAAACTGCTTCTGTTTGAGGTTGATAAAATAAGGTTACATCCTTGTAACTTAGAGATATTTTATTATATAGGTAGAACTGTATGCATCTAAGGTTAATTTAAATTGGCTATGCTCAAGTATGTAGACAAGCTAATGTCGAAGTAGTGTATGTGAAATCAACCTCACAATAAGATGTGTGTATATTACAATTATTAATGTCATATTTCAAGATGATTACTTAGATATTACAATATGGTTGGTTGAGCTGGAGTTCATTATCGAGCTTACACGTTAACGTCACAGTCATCTGAAGAACGAACCCAAACCTTGTTGTTTTTATTAATTGTATTGCCAAATGGGTATCAAATAAACAGTAAGCATTGGTAACACAACTTCCAAAGTTACAGTAAAATAAAAAGGACCCTGACTCGGACAATACACAATCCAACATGTTCAACAGAAGAGAATCAGTTATATTGTTTGTACACATGGTACTTTACATATATATCTGTTTGTTTAAGGTGTCCAGGTGATGCAGACAGGCTGGACCAGAGAGTGAGAGACAGAACTGGACTCCTCACAGCAGTGAACTTCAGCACAGGTACAAAGACTCTTTTTTCATACTGTACAAAGAATCAAGAAAGATATTGGTTTAAATGAATGAAGTATTGACTTGAATACACTGATATACATTCCATTAAACAATACTAAATACTAGATCACCTACACATCAGTGAAGTTGAGGGTTTTTTCCATGCAAAAAGTTACATTTAGATATTTAGCAATATGACTTTGTCAGCTTTCTAATTTAATGTATTGAAGGCAAAGATATTTAACACATAGTGAGAACTGCTACTATTTATCTCTCAATATTGTCTGTAAAAAACGTGGTAAAAAGTTATTCTTTCAGTGAGACAACAGAGCAAGCTTCTACAGTTGCACTACGTTTTGATAACAGTTCAATATTATTTTGATAATAACATATTTCAATGTTGATGAACTTCATACTGTTCATTCATAATCTGATTGTCTTTGTAGCTCATTGTTGAAATTAAAAAAAAACATTACAATTACAAAATAATTATATCTACAGCCGCTAAACACACAAACACACCGCTTTCATAAATAACACTTGTTCTGCAATAATATGTTTTATGTTTCCTGTCATTTTTGTTAGGAAAGGACATGCCTGAAAGACACGACATTTTCTCCTTCTCTGAGGGTCAAGAAGAACATCCAAGAGGAACATTAAAAGCTGATGTTATGAGATTTTAAGACCAGTACAGGAAATTCACTAAGAAACTACTTTTATTGTAAAAACAGTCAGCTGATCGAATGCAGCTATTTCCACATCTACACTCCATCAGCTGATTATTTCTATTTGCCTCACTTTATGAGCTTCACAACATGTACCTTGTTTTGCAATGTCACAAATAAATGGGGCCAATCTTCAGTCAGATGTGAATGTGTAATCTAACATTTTCAGTAAGAATAATGGACAAAAGGAGTGCAAATACAAATACAATTTATTGAAATGTGAACCAAAAGCACATATGGACAGAAGGTGTAAACCTATTAAATGTATAAGTAAACACATTTAGTCAAATAAAGTGACAGACTAGGCCTGTGCAGTTGGTATCAGCTTTGCCCAGCATGGGCTCCTCCATCAGGCCTGGTCCTCCTCGCAGAGGAAAGACCCTCAGTCCTCTCCAAACCAACAGACAGGACGTCCATCACACGGAGGTTTCTCCCTGAAGTCTCTGCAGCTCTCTGGACACCACGCTGTCTCAATCCGTCCACACTGAATATGAGAGGGGGAAAATGAAAATAATAAATGCTTTAGACAATAAGAACATAAAGTTGACTGTTGAGTTGCTCAGTTTTTTTAGATTGTCAATACTATTACTGTATAACTAATATCTCAGGTTAAGAGGCACATTCAAATAAAGATTGGTCTTTAAATACATTTTATCTTTTGAATTGTTTGTCTAAAGTCAAGGATCTAGAACTGGTACTTAGTTTTAATGATACAGTCTGGTTATTATGCTGTTTGGAGGAGGCCTCACAGGTAAGAGCACTAACTAGCTACCATCACATGTACCTTAGCTTGACTTAAATGTATTAAACGTATAGTTAAGTGATATCAAAATATAAATAACTAATGTCATGCAAACATTTTAATATTTGCTTGATTCCAGTGTTGAATTTAGCACAATTGCATACAAACGTTAAGGGGTTTTAAGATTCTGAAGTATTATGCTAAAAACTCAATAACTTAGATTATTATTTATAGTTTTGCTGAATAGTTTGATGTCCGCTTACCTTAGAAACGTAAAATGCGACGGCAGCGTGCAGATGGGGAGCATGCATAGACTGTATATATAAAGGGAGCATGTTAGCTTAGCTTGGTATCTTCAGCTAGCTCTGGAACTTTCAGCTCGGTGGCAGCAGGTCCCGCCTCGGCTCCGCCTCTTTGCCCTTATTTGGAGCGGGCTGGAACAGGCGGGATTTGAACTCTGACGTCACTGTCGAGCCGTTAGTGGCCGACTCCGCCTACTAAGGGCTTCACGGCAACTCTGCAGAATCCTATGGGTGACGTCACGGACCCTACGTCCATTTATATATACAGTCTATGGTCTCGACGCTAAGCAGATGTAAAGATTAAAAGCCTGTACTTCAGGAAATTACTTTAAATTGCTGTTACCTATTCACATTCACTTTCATAGCTTGACAACTGCACGTGACATTAACATCACAATATGCTCATTTGGTTTTGTAACTATTTAACCATTATGTTTGAGTGAGTGTTTTTAATTTTGGTACTGTATTACATAACTCCACCTACTGTGAGCTACATAATGCCTGCAGGAAACAAATAATTCACTTCGAGAAAAGATTCACTTTTGAGTGCTTTGTCACATTACACTCTTAAAACTACTGGGTTAAAAAATAACCCAATCATAACCCAGCTGCTGAGTCACTATAGGACAGAACACGCGCTGGGTTGTCTTAACCCATATGCTGGGCTGGATCATTTTAACCCATACATTGGGTTGTTTATTTGACCCAAGCTAGTGATTGAAATTAACTATATCACTGGGTTAAATAAATATAAACCATACATTGGGTTGTTTATTTGACCCAAGCTAGCGATTGAAATTAACTATATTGTTGGGCTAAATAGAATATAATAATGTATAATAGTGTAATGAATAATCTCCAAACACACCGTATATATATATATAAAAATGCATTTATTTATAATTTGAACATCTTTGGCAAATCGTCAACAGTCAGGCCACTATAAAAGAACAATGCAAACCATACAAATTCAACCCCCCCCCCCCAAAAAAACAAAGAGCCTTAAAACAAATGATATATTACAAAGTGCTGTTATCTGGACCAACTTCTCTTTCAGGTTTAAATAACATGAACATGTTTAAATATAGAGATAAAACATTTCTCTGCCCAGCAGAATCTATATACAGACACAAACGGTAAATAAATAAATGAAGTAAATTAAATAAGTAAATAATAAGTAAATTAAATCACGTAAAGTAATAAAAATAAAATTAAAATAAATGAATTAACAGGAAAAGTAGGTACTGTAAACGCGGGTCAATGTTTTGACACAATTAAAGTGTGTGCCTACTAGGGCTGTGCGATTATGGCAAAAATCATAATCACGATTATTTGGGTCAATAATTGATATCACGATTATTTTGACTATTATTCATCGAACATTTATTGAACTTTAAAACAAATAATATTTTACCAATAAACAAGATCAACAAATATGTTGGAGCGCACTTCCAAAACCATACTAAACATATATTATTAATATGATACATAAAAATAAATTAGACATGTTGCAGTGCACTGTCACAACCTACTGAAAACTCCTTAACATATAGCCAACATTTTGGTAAAACATATTCAACATATTCCACTCAGTTAAACGTTGTAGGCTGGCCCACCGTCATGGTCCAGAAGTAACAGGAAATAAATGTTGAACTACAATTTAAGACCAAATAAAAATGTCTAGGCCACCATGGAAAATGCTGGTAGGGCTGCTCATGTCATCTCTTAAAGATTGTTTGCAAGAAACAACAGCCTGTTTACATGGTCTGGTTTCAGAGATGAGCGCAGGCAGGTGACAATATTGCCACCTGTACTGAAGACCCTCAGCCACGCCCCGACACATGGGGTGACGCCGGCCAATCACAAAGCTTTGATGCGTTCAAGTGCATTATTCTGGCACAGGAAGATTATGTTACAGGACATTAACGATAAAACAGAATATTGTTGTTCTATTTTTAGACACATCTCGCGATCGACTGGTTGGGCACCCCTGGGCTAGATCATAGGTCTGTTGTGGTAGCAAAGTAGTCAGCTGAAGCCACATCTCTCTCAACTTCCCCACGGCATTTGTCATATAGTGCAGGCAGCGCAGACCTGTTGAAATAATACCGAGACGGCATCGCGTAACGCTTGTCCAACGTGTTGACAAGTTGCTTAAAGCCCTGGTTGCTAACAGTGCACATATCTTTAGCGATGTGAAATGTAATGACAAAGTAGGCTACTTGCAAATAGTGGAAATAGTTTTTACCCTTCTTTTTAACGAGTTGCTGCTCTTGTTCTGACATTTTCGCTCACGCTGAACACTCACAACACATGTCACTCCCACGTGGCCGAGTGGGCTTTTAGGGAGGGGCGAAAGCGCACCCAGCAAAATAATCGTATTTTGTCAATTATGCTGTTTTCATAATCGTCGCAAGCCATAATCGTAATCGCGATTAAAATACGATTAATTGCACAGCCCTAGTGCCTACTGTCTTCTGCAATCATGTTTTGTGTCAATCATATTTTTAGAGAGCAGCTGTCAACTTGTTTGACACACATCACTAAAACGCTACTTCTCTCTGTGTACCTTTAGGCCAAAGCTGCAATTGATTTCCTCATAAATTTGACATTTGAGGATTCATGTCCATCAATGTTATATACTGCCTGTTGGATAAACTCCCAGGTGGGGAGACACTGCTTTGTGTAATTGAGGTCAAACACAAAGAAAGCCTTAAAACACAGATCTACTGCACCCAGCAAAGTGTCCGTTTCAATGGCGTTGTCTGACACAATGGTGAAGGTCTGGCATGTTGTCATGTCATCACCAAGACACAAGATGTGCGGGAAGGGTTGAGTTCTCTCTGCTGTCTGTAGGTACTGTACCATGTTGGTGCCCACCTGTTAATTACACAACAGTTACTTGCAATATAACCTGCCATTTAAGTTAAGCATGTTGTTTTTATTATCTTTTTTATTGAAGTATGAAAATGCTAGTATATAAACACAGAAACACCCACCATTATTGAAGTAGAAAAACAAAAGTAAAACTTACTGGTTGGATATTAATGAAGGACTTGCGGGACTCCTCTATGGTGGGTCTGTGGACTTTTCCTCCAATCCTGTAGGACTTTCAAAGCTCGGTCTACGCAATATAAGAAAAATACATATTAACATCAACATTTAAATAGTATATAAAGATTGATATTTCTGAACCAATATTGACTTTTCTGCCCTGGTGTTGAATGGTAAAAACAAGGCGGGAATTGCCTATTATAATCACAGGAAGTGTTGTGACATCTTATCAGAATCTGAATCGTTATTGTCACATCACAGGTTCACAGGTGTAAAACAGTGGGTGACATTTGTTTTTGTGCAAGCTCCATCGTTTTGATTGTTTCCAGAAAGAAAAGGAAGGGGGGGAGCAGGAATCAAAGAAAGACAAAAGGTATCTAATGAAGTGGTTCACAAACTTGTTCATGTATTTATGTATTTGTCAACAGACTCCCATCCGAAAACATGTTGTGCAAGGGACCCCATACAGATGATTGTTAAAATATTAAAAAAATTGCAGATCCACAAGCTCACAACGAGTCTCATTGGGACGCAATGCAAGCATGTACATCTGCTATTTTCAAAGAACCGGTGTGTGTGTGTGTTACATAGTAAGAAATAGCTTACCTGGTGTCATGTCATCAAACACCAAGGGCAGTTTTCCCTCTCGCTGGGCATATGTAAGGATTTGGTCACTCATAGTAGCCCAGTTCTGAAACAGTTTTCCCACTGCCTCTGGATGAAGCTGCTGGAAGTCTTGTGATATCTGATACATTTTGAAAAACATGAAAAACAATAGAACAGTGTTTAAAGAAATGATATGGGCTTGTAGTACCTGTTAGGAAAAGGGTTAGGGGACAATTTGACAGCCAGTGTCACTTCAACAGGTAAATTATTAAATTATTACAAAGTATATACTGTAGGGTCTAAGTGGTTAAACATAAACTTGTAGTGCATTGCAGAGTATCAGTCAAATTGTCACGATCTGTCTGTGTTGTGTTTTGTCTTGTCTAGATCTGTTTTTAGTTTCCTGTTTTATTTTGAAAAGTGTTCACCCACCCACCCACCCCCCCGTCCCCCCGTCCCCCGTCTTGTCTGTTGCTTCCTGTCTCCGTGTTCCCTCCTGCCTGATAACCCAATTGTGTTCACCTTGTGCCTCTGTGTTTTCTCCTCCCTCCTCACCTGTGTCTTTTCTTCCTTCCTGTGTTTTCCCTCCTGTGTCTGATTGTGTTCACCTATTGCCTTTCTGCATTCCCTCCCTGTGTCTTGCCCTGTGATTGCCCCTCTTTGTATTTAGTCAATCAATCAATCAATGAATGTTTATTTATATAGCCCAATATCACAAATGTTACATTTGTCTCAGTGGACTTCACAGTTTGTACAAAATATCAGTATGACAATACAATTTAGTCTTGTCTTCCCCTGTGTTCCTTGTCGGTTCATTGCCTTTCCTGTCACCCTCCATGTTTGTCACTGTCGTTTTTGGCTGGATGCTACCTTGTGCTACCTGCTTTATGGATTCATGGTTTTGTTTTGTTTATTCATTGTCAACAACTTTTTGTAATTAAAGCTCGCCTTTTGTTGCACTTTGAAACCCGCTTTTCCTCAATCTGCATTTGGGTCCTGCCTTACTTCAAATCCTAACACAAATAGAGTATCATTCAAATAGACAAAACCGCAATAGCAAAATAATTTCTTACCATGCCAGGATTGTCTAAAAGCCTAGGGAACTCAGTCAAGATTTCCGGGAGGCTTTTAGATCCATTGCTGCGAATCCACTTGCCTCTATGTAGAGCTGTTTGACTCATGTAGTCCTCAACTTGGGACACTGGATACCTATTGACCTTCATCCATTCAACCATTTCTAGAAGTTTTTCAGGAGGCACATCATATTCTGTTGAATGATAAGTACAGAGGTCCTCAGACTCATTATAGCTGATTTCAAACATTTGGGGTTCTGGCCTACTTGGGAGAGTGTGTGAAAAGTCGCCAATCGGTCCAGCGGTGCCTGAGACTAGCTTTTAGAAGATGGATGGACAGAAGAGTCATGGGACCTAAAATATAATCCCTTGCATTTGTCTATTCTAGCCTGGCGGGGATAATTAATATTGGTTATTAGTATTACCTGGTGTACTAGGGACGGTCTGTTCCTTCTGTTGTTCTTGGTGGCGTGGTCGTTTCAGCATTCTCATGCGCTTCCTGACGTTCCTCAAGCGCTCCTCCAGGAAACCTGTAGCAGGTTTGTGATTTCGGCCAGGTGTGTACCGAGCTCCCTGTAAAAGAGAAAATTTGATTCAGATTAAATTGGCCTGGCGTAAACCATGAAGATGGTTACATGGGATTTTAAGGAGCAATCCAAAAATGTGCGTGTGACTGTGCACTTGGAAAAACGTTTGAGCACATTTCTTTTAGGTGTGTGTGTATGGAGTGTTCTCCTTTATGTGTTGATTGATTAACTTACATAGCCACTGCCTGTACCATCCAAAAGGCAAGGGAATTCATACACCAATGCCACGGCAAGGGCTTTCTTTGTGTCTGTGGATGGCCTGTTAAAATAGACAGTAGAAGTTTGTCAAAGAACGATGAGATGAGACAGTAATCATTGTTACAAATATATGACGATTCAAATCCATGAATTAAACACTGAATTGTGATGCGCTTTTAAAGTGCATTTGAGTTCTGCTGTTCACCGCATGCACTCCTTGGTTGTTGTTGAAGGTGTGTGATAGCCAGTGTTGGACAACAACATCGTACATTTACTTTACTGACATTTCTTATCTCATCTGTTTGAAAGTGTATGTTCACAGAATAATTCATATGCGGCTCACTCATTTATGACTTAACATCTCTGTCTCCTATTGATCAGAGTATATTATAAAGAATAGCCAGTTAATTGAAGCATTATAGCACAGGCCTTTGTCAGATGGTATATTACGCTGTTTTTTTTCTGCTTCGAATAGTTCTCTCTTTTTTCACCATACCTGTGTTTGCATCACTGTAACCAATGAGCACCTGCATGTGTGTATGAGAATGGCCCTGACACCATTTCAGCCCAGATTTACAAACTCCTGGCAGGACAAGCTCAAGCTCAATTCTCGCACTGAATTTAAAAAAAGTGAGTGAGGGACTGCAATATAAGAGGGAAAGAAAGAGAAACTTTAAAACTGTTCAATTGTTATGATGTGTAAAGACTGATATTGTTCTATAATCGGCTGAAACTGTTAAGTCATGATCTGAAACGGTTAACAAAGAAAAAGAGAAACTCAAGCTGCTGCTACACTTTATTTTATTTATCTAAAATTAAGCACTTTTAAGATGCACATATTTTCAAAAGCTATTTTATTTATTAGAGGAAACTGAGTTATTTAGTTTGTTAAAGTTTCACCTATTCTGTTTACAGTTCTGTCATCACATTATTTAATACCATTTGTTAAAACACTGTCGTTTCTTTTGATGTGAAATATTATTTATTTAATTTAAATTAAATGCAATGTTAATTTTGTTCAAAATGTGTTTAGTTAATTTAATAATATATGTATTTTTGAATCAAGTATTCATCTTTATTGTTAGTTTCCACATGCCTAAAACAACCTCAAGCTACATCTAAAAGTTGATGGCTAAATAAGAGCGTTTGAGAAATTGTGCAAGGCATACAGTAATAGTCCGAATAGTCGATTAATCGTTTCATTAATCGATAGATTAATCGATTATCAAATTAGTTATTTGTTGCAGCGCTACCTTGCTCTTTTTAATATATAACAAAATATTTAATAGTAACATCTCAACATTGTCTCAATAAAAATGAACTTACCTTTAAATGTGTCAATCAAGTTCTTAAGCTGCCATGCAGTCAACGTCTCTGTGACAAACGTGTCCATGGTGAAACCCTCTACTAGAATCAAATCAGATTAAGTACATTATAATTTCACAAAACTGTGCAATGTTTTAACATTTATTGTAAGGTACCAAGCTACTAATGTACAGTTACTACAGGGGGTCTGCCAAATCTCTCCATGAAGACATTTTAATCATTCACGAATTATTATTATTTGCCCCTGGCACGACCTAGCTGGTTGGTGTGCTATGCTAAGCTAACCTATGGTAACACGTCGATGGCAGGGAACTAAAATGTTACATTATGTGGTTCGGTGACTCCGGTCACTCACTCCTAAAAATAACTTCAATAGTTGCTAACTTTAATGATTAATGTAATTAATAAATAACTCTAGTAACCTAAACTTACCTACATCAATGAGCTTCTTTGTTGTCTGTCTGTCCGTATGTGTGAAAGCCCGCGCCCGAGCTGCATGCTGGGAAAGAGAGTTGTGACGTAAAAGCCATCTGATTTATACTGCCTTATTGTACATCTAATACTTTTGCACACAAATCCAAAGCTATAGTTCAGACCCATTTATAACTACTAGTAGAACACACGTCTTTGTAAAATAATAATTCATCGCATCACAACGTAAATTCAAGGCTCTTTCACTCATTGACAGAAATGTAAAACATTTGTAGCCGACGTTAACTGCTAATGTTATACTTTGCACAGTCTGTTAAATGCCTACAGATCCCTATTGAACTGTTATCACAACTCATTAAAAAAATATAGGTTACAGAATTGTATAATTATATAAATATAGGTAAAATATAGGTTACATACCTTGTGTTTTGAAAAAGATGATTCCAGAATGATTCAGAAGTGGGAAAATGAATAAAGCAACCTCTGGGTTAAAAATAGCCCAGGCGGGTGTTCAACTGCAATTGAAGCCCTAATAACCCCTTTGACCCAGCATGAACAACCCACCAGTGTGTTTACAGTACCCAAATAACCCATAATTATGACCCAGCCAAATCAACCCAGCAATGTGTTTATAGAAATAACCCAGCATTTTTAAGAGTGTACAAACTGTCTTAATTATTTCTTCCAATTAAGGGTGTTTCAGCCACTATTCACACACATATTTTTTTTAACTCAGGTTATTTCAAATGTTTCATGTTCAGGTTTAGTGCATGACCCTGTTCACATCTAACTTCAACACCTATGTCTCATTCAACAGAAGCTTGCACTGTTACATTGAGACCAGTCTGAAAGCTGTCAAAACATCTCAGACACCTTATAAGACATGCAAACATTAAGTTGGCTCTTGCATGAGAATATGAAACTTCCTCTGCTGTACATGTGTTGCTAGGTTAACCATCTTTATCAAAACTGAAATCATCATTTTTTAGATGGCTATACAATCAAGGTTATCTAACATCAAAATAATCATATCATATATATGATTCATAAACTCATCCAAGCACAGTGGAATGTTTTTTTTTTTGTACCCTGCTGAAGAAAAGAGAAAGTACTACTTCAATCCCTCTGCTTCTCTGATATCTATTTTCCACACAATCAATCGCACATGCCTTCAGACATAATGAGATACATATTCTTTTTATTTTTTTTAAATCTTTTTTTTATTGAGTCAGGCACAATGAGTTTACATTTATACAGTCAATATTTTTATTTATTTTTCCCCTTTCCCCCCCTCCCGGTCCTAGCTAGTAAAATAAATAACTAACTAAATAAAATAGATACCTGTATAGGTAAAAGTAAAGTAATATGAGATACATATTCATTGTCACGAGGAAGCTATACTGCACGGTTACAAATATAATTTATCCTGCTGTAACCTGCTTCTGAAAATGTAACTTAATGAGATCACATCACCCTGCTTGTCTACACTTGACCCTGTTTGACCTCCACTCCTCTCCTGTTGCCTTCTCACTTGCATGCACACTACAGATGATTTGCATCGGGGCTGAAAATTGCAATCACATTCCGAGTCAGACCACTTCTTTATCTGGCTGTGATTACTGGATTGCAGTGTGAGCAAAATGCAGCCTTTGTGAGTACATTGCCACCGTCATTGATTCCTGGTGTGATAAAAATCGTTTGACAAGCGTTTATTGTAGCCCCTTTCATTTTATGATAACAGAAAGATAATGCGCTCAGTAGCAAAGGCCCCTACTCTCAACCTCTCTCCTTTTCTATCTTCTCTATCCACGCACGCACGCACACAGACAGACAGACAGACAGACAGACAGACAGACAGACAGACAGACAGACAGACAGACAGACAGACAGACAGACAGACAGACAGACAGACAGACAGACAGACAGACAGACAGACAGACAGACAGACAGACAGACAGACGACAGACAGACAGACAGACAGACAGACAGACAGACAGACAGACAGACAGACAGACAGACAGACAGACAGACAGACAGACAGACAGACAGACAGACAGACAGACAGACCTTAAAATGAAAAAGGGATATTGAGAGATGCTCCTCTGTAAATCACAGATTCAGGATTGAAGCGTTTACTCTGTTGTCAACACTGTTGTTTGTTTCTTTTCATGTAAGTTCATGTGCAATTGACCGCCTCTGTGCTCTCTACATGCGACCTCTCTCTCCTCTCTATAATGCACACACGCCCAACTCCCTTACGGCCAAGTATTTCTTCTTTCATTCTGTGTAAGGTGATTTATTTTTCCTGTTGTGTACACTTGCAGGGGTCACAGCAAGTCTCCCGAGGGGGGTGTACTTCCTGCTGAACCATCAGGTGATTATCCTCACTACTGTTATAGGTGATACCTGACCTGATGTGCTGAGTTGAACTGTAGCCAAGGGCCAGGGGGATTCTTAATGCCAGAGTTGTTGCAGAGGCCTCTCAAAAGTTCTACCCGATGAAAAGACGTTTAAAATGTAACTGAAAAGGCTCCTCCAAGCCATCTTTTCAGTGTGTGACAGAATTTAAACATGATTGAGTAAGCCGGGTAAATTAGCCAGATAGAAACTGCTGCATCCACACTGAATGCTTTGTTCAGAGGAAGTCGTGCTCAGCAGATCTGTCTGCTGTTTGGCTGTCATCACACCACGGCTAAGACCGGGAACCATCTGCGGGTTGGAGAATAATCGCTTACTGCCATCTGTCTGCCTGTCCGTTTATCTGTCCATTACTTCCTTCCAGTCAGTCTGCCATTCATCTGCTTGTCATGTCTCCATTTGTGTGCTCATCTGAATCATGAGACTGTGGTATGTCTGTGATTATTATCATGACTCTTGTTTCTTTTATTAGAACAAGCCTTCGGGAATGCATGATCAATCAGTTGCTTGGGAAAACTTGTTTTTTTTCCAAACAGTCTTTGAGATGATTCAAATAAAACATCGGGTTATTCACCGAATTCTGATGCCGTGATGCTCAGATTA